TTCCAGCTGTCTTGCTTGCTGACGATACTACACTCATAAGCACATCCCCTAATGGCCTACAGGTATCACTGGATATTGTCTCTTCATACGCTTCTAAATGGCGTCTAACATATAACCCATCAAAAGTACCATCATCGTTTTTAGCAAAAGAAAAGGCTATGATGTAAACGTCCACTGTAGCATTGGTAACATCCCAATCCCCAATCAGAATCTACCGTATATGGGGGTGTACTCTTTACAAGTAACCTCTCAACAAAAACTAGAAGTGAAAAGTATTGTCAGAAAGCAAGACAGAATGTAAACTCACTTAGATCTATTGGACTGAATGATTCTGACCTACATCCAATCACTTGTGTTAAAATATGGCTCAGAATGATTCTTAAAACTAGTCTCTATGGCTGTGAAGTATTACCAAACATCAAAGTCCAACAGGCTGACACCTTTGAACAAACACAAAGATACTTTGCTCGTCTTGTGCAAGGTCTTGATAAGAGGTCATCATCAATATCTACCATTGCAAATTTGGGATTATGGTCACTAACTGGGTATATCGATAAATGTAAACTACTATTTCTTGGGCGACTATGTAACACTGAGTGTAACAACTTTGCAAAACATATCTTTTGTGCTGCTATTGCAACTTCAGTAAAATCTAACAACATCTGTGATGATCTTTTATCAATATCTGAAAAGTATAATCTAAATACATTTGTTGACAATTATATTGCTCAAGGCATATTTCCTCCAAAACGGGTATGGAGAAGAATTGTAAATGCTACTGTACATAGTTATGAAGAACAATTATGGCGATCACAAACTCTCTATCGTTCAAACATGTCATTTTACGCAACAACTCATACTACACTCTCTTATCATACTTTCTGGCAACTGGCATATAAACACCCTAATTATAAATCTTCCTTGCAATTTTGTGTCAAAATATTATCAAGAGGTAAAATCTCAAAAGAGTGTGCTCTTTGTAATAAACAAACATTTGACTATGATTTCCACATGCTTCTTCACTGTGAAAACCTAATACAACAACGAAATGATTTCTTTGCATACTTAATTGATAAACTTGATGTTGAAACTTACGTAATATTTGAAATGCAAGGTGAACAAGATATGTTGTCATTTCTCTTCAGACGAAAACGACTTTTATAACTCTATAGATTCAACACTATGGGAAACCATACTGTTACGCTTTTCTTTGTATGTATATGACCTGAAACCTCACCTTGTGAACTGTTATACAGAATGATTCTCTTCATGTCATAAATTTCTGTACATATATCTCTAAACATCCAATTGTTAATATTCATGTACGTGTTGTAATAATATGATGTTTTGTTTGTAATCTTCGGTAACTACTGGAGGAAATAAAGACTCTCTCTCTCTAGTAATATTCCACTGATGTTTTCCAGGATGAGAAACAGATGTTGTATGACCAATTCTTTCCCTGGACTGTATCAGCTAACCCACTTAATGCTGGTGGATACTTGTGATGTTGAATGTAACATCAGTGAGGTCGCTGGGGAGGAAACAATCACCCATGATGATTTTGATGGCAAGACTATTGAGCCAAACATTTTCTCTCCAGACTGGGCACAGGCCAAGTATTAAAGTAACTGTATATCAACACTGAGACAAACATGCAGTGCTTCCAGTACTAACTTTTATGCTTAGTGCTGCAACAATTTTCATTTACACAGGACTGTCAAAATATTCAGACTTCACTGTTGTACTTCCATTTTTTGGTGCATATGCATGTCACCTAAATTATCTGTACAGCAATATTGACAGTGTGATTGTCCGTGTGGAAAACGTCAACATGCATGTGATGTAAGTGTTAATCACGGTTCTTCAATTCAAAGGAGACCATCATTTTTTACTGTATTTATATCTATATTTATGAATGTCCATACATGCAGAATATATTATGTTGAACAATAAAAACTGAAATGACAACCCAGACTTTGTTGATTTTTGTCTGATGATAGTTGACACATGAGAATAATCGTAAGTATTGTAGAATCTCAATTGCACCATTTAGACTACCATTCAAAAGCTAAATTATTCCTTGTTTCAGTATTTCAAATGCACACTGTGTTCACTGAGACTGTGAGCCCATTATCATTGTGATAGCCTTGATGTAATTTGCAAACCCTTCACACATGCTGGAATAACAAGTGTGAAATATTTGTATTCAATTCTAAAAGGCTCCCACCTTAAAAGACAATGAATCCGATACCCCCTTGCTTCTGGCATCAGGTAGTTCAGACCTCCAATATTGGTTTAAATGTGTTTGTAATACTTCAGTATTTCACTAAAGCTTAATTACATTATTTGACAACAACTGAAACACAATTTCAAAATTATTCTTGTGTTTTCAAAATGTGATCTGTCATTTAGGTAATGGTTATTTGTGTAGAGAAGAGACAGCCTTTAAAAATGGTACAGATTGGGGTGGGGTCCCAAATGACACTTAGAAATACATTGTGCAAGAAATATGCCAATTTACTGTATGGGATTGAATAACAGCCTATGGGGCTGTTCATAATTTATTTGTGGGTGTGAGGTGGTGATGAATTTAAGGGGTCACCTATTTTGTTCTGGAAAGGTAGAGGTCATCAGTTTTGTAAACATGTACTAAGGGGTAAGAAAATTTGTACATAAAACTGATTATGCTTAAAATTATGGAGTGGGGGTGGGGGTTTAATTGATTTTGAATATGATATCTGCAAAGGGGGTGTCACTTTGTACATGAATTGTAGGGTGGTCATTCACATTGTACATGCTTCTCCATAAAGATCATCACCAAAAGCCACCCCATTAATTATGGCCGGTCCCTAAATGTGTAGTATGTAGAAACTATAAACCGGAAGTTGTGAGCTTATTTATCGTGTGAATGGGTGTAATATATTTTGTTGAACACAATGTCAGCGAGTCGTTAATTCGATGAAATGCTTTGTTTCAAATCCTTTCGAAAACGATCTGTTGCCATAGCATTTCCTCTTTCCATTGCATCCAAAAGTGTTATAGGATATGAGAATAGGTTGTTTACGTGAACGAAAACTGAAGCACTTATGTTGTACGCGTAATCAGGTCAGCGCTAACGTTATTTGTGTAACGCTAATTTCAGTGTACACTAATCCTATGTTCTAACAACTATTACGACCGCATTAATGCTCTGTGTAATGTCACATAATGGGGAGTAAATTGTTTGACGAATTTACAAAGCAACTACTCAATAAGAAATTCCGAGAAACGGCAATATTACAATAACTGCAGTACCGTTCTATTAGCATTATTTTTCGTCCAGACACGCTAGCTCTTCGTGCTTTGACAACAGTCGTCCAGATTCCGTAATTCGTAATATATGAACCATAGAGTCAAAAGTAGGTTTAATGTCGATTTAAGTTTAGGCTTGGCGGATAGGCAGGCCAGTATCAGAGTGACAGCTACTGTTGGACCGTAACTACCGCAGCGCTCCAAGCGCTCCCCATTCCCGAGCCAAACAATTCTCTATGGTGATAGTTCATGCTCACTATTACATAACATATTTACATTCTAAAGTGTGCAAAATGCATATAATGTCAAAAAAGAGTTTCATGCAACTTTCATTCATATACATCTTGCTATTTACGGTTATTGTAAAATTTCCAACAACTCGATTGATGAAGTGTATATATCATTCAGAACAGCACTAGTGCATGTACTGGTACGACTAATATTATTCATTTCAGTTTTAAATATTCACACCTTGGTCCATATTTATTGTGAATATATATGGAAAGGCGTTTCTTTTATTTACTGCTTATCCAGACTTCATTTGACCTTTATGTCAATAAAATACAAAACTGACTGTGCACAACCTGCAACATATTCAGCAACCTTGAGATCACAGCCATATTACTTTTATAAATGTGCGTCTTTTAGTAGTTTGTTGTTTAACTTAGTGTTATGAGAGTGTGTTTCTTTGTAATTTGTGATATCATTGATTGAGTGATAGTTGTTATGGGTTGCACAGTTTGAGGTTTTGAGTGTCGGTTTTGGTTCGCATCTCGCATCATATATGTTCAATGGCAATATTATTTTTAGCGGCACGCCTTTTTTTATAGCGCTTCAGAGTTGCCTCCCTTGGCAATCGTACATACGACTTTCATCATGTAGCTTGTTCGACGGATTTCGTAAAAGTTTTGAGTGGATAACGATACTGCCTACCTTTACTAGAATGCTCGAGAACTGTGTAAGAGCTATATAGTCTGGTTGTTGCGTTCTGCGGCAGGACTAACACACGGGTCTTTATAACATGACTTGATTTGTGTACATCTGTCTGCCATTTCCAAGCTGACTTACATTTTAAGACTATATTCACCATATGTCACTGTAAACAACCTTCAATCAGTATATCTGCTCACACTGTAAATGTCAAGACTCTGGTGAGTTAATATTGTATTTTTGTCACCCAATATTTTAGATTTGTGACTCAATTGCATTGTACTAGATATCTGTATTGTCATTTATTGTAGTTTGCTCATTGTTTGTTCAATATATTATTGAATATTTTAGACTTGTCTGTGTTCTATTTTGCTGGTTCAAAGGGGGCTCTTAAACCTTTTGTCACGGCAATGAATTAACCGCAACACTAGCTACATGTATTTAGTTCCGGTTGGAATTATCCACAAACTTTCAGAATTGTACAGCAACTAGAAATGTAGAAAATTATCCAAATGTAACAAACATATAGCATGTAAAATGTGTGCACAATCTTCACTCCTAATGCAGCTAACGTCAGAATTACATGCCTCTATCCCATTCCTAAAACCTATTCCTAAAACCTAAACCCCTAACCATCAATCACCAGGGGCCAAAGCCCCTAACCCTGAATCCCTTAAACCAAAACAGCATAAGCTTTCATGTCAATGCAAATGTACATCCAGTCGAGACGTTTACATGGTTTGATAGTTGAAGATGATACCCTTATCTCTTTTCTCCAGACAAAATGAGTCGGGATCGGCACCGTGGATTTTTACCAACAACATTTTGCTTTGCTGTGTACATGTTTCTACTGATACACCACGGTAAGACACACCATCTATGTAGTTGAAACGTGTTTATATTAACTCTTCGTGAATGTCTCTTTTGGTCTTGATCACTACAATACCATATGAGGTACTCGATCCATTGTTTCTGCACTTTTCCTTTCCTCAAACAGATGCCAATGAAATAGTGACCATAAATACAATAATGTATCTACCTGTCATGAGTGCAACGACCATTGTTTCACATATTACCCACGTGTAAAACTTTGATCAACACTTTCATATCTTGTTTGAGTGGCATTTTTAGAAGTTGAGACGTACAATATGGAACACGTTTTTATGGATAACAACTTCTTTATTGCGTGAGTGCGACGTTTCGATACAGATTCTTGTATCGTTGTCAAGCAAGAGTATATTCATATCTGTATATTGGCATTTGAAACAACGGTCCACACTATCTCAAGTTGCAGCTATGTATTGATTGGGCAGCCTTCACTTCTTTTTGCATTAAGTCTTTCACAAAAAAGGTTACATTTACCAGTGGCAAGTACATTATCTATAATAAAACACAATTCAAAGGGAAATTAAAGACCAATAGCATCGATCCTGTCATATTGTGATGTATGTGACCTATCGTATGTTGAAGGTGGCAGTAAGTGCGTGCATAAAACTCCACGACACTTGAAGAAGGAAGGCTGTGTGAACCACTGCCCCAGCGCAGACCAGTGTCCCGAGGAATGTACTGACTGTGTCAGCGGCTTCTATGGGTCTGACTGTAGACGGAGCTGCCGAGGAAACTGTTTGAATGGACGGTGTGCCCTACTGGCCAATGGTCGAGCCGTCAACTGTACGGAGGGGTGTGTGTTGGGGTGGAGGGGGTTAACATGTAGTACTAGGTGTAAGCGTCCGTGCCTGGAGTGTGACAGATACACGGGAGATTGTGTGGGACAATGTAGGGATGGTTTCTGTGGACCTTGGTGCTTACAGCGATGTCCTTACCCATGTTCTAAGTGTGACAAAAGCACTGGAGAGTGCTTGTCTAACTCTTCTGGTGCAATTGACCTAAGCCTGAAGAAAAACAACATGCCTGTGGCATTAAGACAGACACACGGTAACAACACACGCAAGATTCCCACCGGCAACATCAACATGTCACACAGCAGTCGAGGTAAGGTGCTCACAGGAATGCTACAAACAGATGTAATATAATTATTTAAGAAAAATATGGTTTGAACACATATAAACATATTTTGTAGTCCGCAATCCCAGTTCTTCGTTGCTAACCATATGAAAATATCACTGAGAGTACATATAACAGGTATCAACATGCTTAATTTTGACAAAGGCTATGTACCATATACTTCCTGTTTCAGAGCCACACCAACACCTTGCAATGCCGTCAACATCCTTCAGTGACAGATGGACAACATCCCCATACTTTCCAACAGCAATTGCTGTATTATCTGCAGTAATTACCTTCATTATTGTCGGTTTCATCTTCCACAGGTACGTATATGTACACCAATGATGGATATACAGCACCCCCATCCATCTGCCTACCTCAGATCACACAATTGCTGGATTTAATGCATCCAGTTTACCAGCAACACGCCATACTTTATTATGGCTCTTAGCAAAGACCACTGCTGGGGAGTCTAGTGTATGGAATGTCCCAAACTGTACATATTCAGCGTGGCTTTCCAGAGTTCGGTCTTAACTACTGTTGATTGTTGTTTAACGCCGTACTCAGTAATATTCCATCTATTTCATCCATCATAAATAATTAAATGTAGAGAAGATAATCCAGTGAATGACATCACGCATTTTGGATACGTTGACATGCATCACCAAAATCAGCGAAATCAGTCGCCGCTTTCTAACAATTTTATGCTATTTATCCTTGAGGGCTTCGTTTGACAGCGTTCATGAAAGAACTGTAATGTTGTCGCCAGTTGAGAAAAAACGACATTCATTCAATCTGAATGGCAGACATTGACATGTGTTTGTTGTCAGTTACCACAGTTGCCACCAGTGTGACAACTGCACTGGCTCTCAAAACATGTTATTAATGTACACGTTGTCAAATGAGTGAAGACGAATCAAATGGAAGCAGTAATGTGTTTACAGTGGCAGCCCTAGATGATATCTGGATGATATCGTTGTAAATCAGAACATTATTTTCAGCTTGCGATATGGCTATTGAACATTCCCATGATATATAGGGTATGATCATATTCCTTTACACAGAATGAAGGTGGCGATGGAGCAAAAGAGGAAAGGAGATCAGCTTGTAAACTCATCACAAACCAAGAGATTAATCTTGCTCTTATAATTCCAAAGTGATGGGTATTGATAAACCCATTATCATTGATGTGCCTGAAGATTCATAAATAAATGCAAGTTATGAATACTTTGTCGAGATTGCCAAACATTTTCGAAAGGTCAAAGACCTTGCTTTCTTAGTGTTGTTGCTATATATGTATTTGCTGAGAGAGTAAATGGAGGCACAAGAGGTGATGGTAAAATGTGCTGATTTTATTTACTTCAGCTTTGTGTGGTGAAACTGAACTTGGCGTAGGCCACAAATCAGACTGAAAGTATAAAAAACTGTCTGACGAGTGATGGATGTTGATATTTATATGATTTCAAGTCAACTATATGATGGATTAATAAAATTTAAAGGTTGAACTTTCTTGGCGATGCTTTAGACACTAGCATGTGTTCATATCAAAACACTTCCAGGATTAGTCTGTCTGCTTGAGTCTTTGCTCTCTTGACTCACTGCTGTTGGGAGTTGGGAATAAGGGGATGTAATAAGAGGTGCGGTGGATGGGTTGAGTTTTCGTTTTATAAAGGGCTAGTGGAAGGGGTGACTGTTGGATGGGGAAATGAGGGGTAAAATGTGTCTATCTGAAGGATGGGCAGGAGGAGCTGATTTATTTACGTCTGCTTTGTGTAATGAAACTGGACTTTGCAGCTTTGTGTATGGACGGATGGCTTGTTCCATACAAGTGACTGGAAGAAGATCTGAGGTCTTTTCCAACTTGACTTCCGCATTATCTAATCGCCAAATCTGTTGAAACTGATTTCCTGTCAGGTTTTAACACGTTTGCTGATTTTATTCTCTTTTTCATATTCAGACATATTCCGCAGTTCTTGTCACCTTCGGAGGATGCATGCGTGATTCACAATAAAACTGCCCACAAAATGTCCCCGTTAAGGAAATATACTATTGGGAGGGTCGAACCCTCAAAAGACGCGTCTACTGTACCAACAGAGCGGTATAGCGAGGCATTAAAATATCATGATGCCAACATCCACTGTACGTGATTGTGACTTATACGTAAAGGAGAGTAATAAAACGTACTATATTTAAGGAATTGTGGGTTATGGTGTTAATTCCCCAATAAATTATAGTAAGTAAACTGTTTATAATTATAACATTTAATGTCGCTACCTTAAACTTATATAAAAACGTAAAAGTATATATTTTTTAAAAATAATCGGTTAGAAAGGGCTTCTCACAACGTCACGCTGTTGTTCGTACTCGCTTAACCTGTACCAGCTTAACACAACACTGAAACAACTCTCCATTACTTGACATATTTTTAGCAACTCTCTATTCCTCAGAAATAATAGAGTGCTAAAACAATAGGATGAAGTCACAAGTGTAGTTTAAAGAAAGTTTGGGAACCTGTGGTTGGCATAAATGTTTCGAAATTCACGCTTCCCACTTGACAGTCACCTCCAAGTCACCCTTGTACCGCAACATGCAATAAATGATGAAATTGTCCTGAAATACTTGGCAATATAAACATAATCGGGGTCCTACTAATTTGAATGAATTTTCTAAAGTTTCATATTTTCTTTGAATTCTGAAGGGTTCGTTTCTACAATAAGAGGTCTAGACGTGATTTGATTTAAGTATTACCATGAATGAGAAGATCAACCTTTGTCAGATCTTCAAACTTATTCGTTATCTTTTCGGTATTTTTGTCGACCCGTGAAGATCCGGTTTAGAATTGATCTTCAGTAACCCATGCTTGTCGTAAGAGGCGACTAACGGGATCGGGTGGTCAGGTCAGGTTCGCTGACTTGGTTGACACATGTCATCGTATCCCAATTGCGTAGATCGATGCTCATGCTACTGACCACTCTTTTGTCTGGTCCGGACTCAATTATTTACATGCCGCCGCCATATAGCTGTATATATAATATTGCTGAGTGTGGCGTAAAACTAAACTTACTCACTCTCTCACTTCAGTTTTACAAACACAGCGGTCCGAATCGTGAAAAAGACGCCATTGAAAGCAGCATATCTGTCAAGTATTTCCAGTACTTCACTGTCCTTTTCGATCAGAATCAATTTCAAAACATCTCACCTTTCTTCCGAAAACACATTTTGTAAATTTTATCGACACTCTTGAAAAGTCACATATCCCATAACTACCGCTGCAGTCACCATTGGAATCAGCAGCGGGAAAAATGATTTCAATCGTTGCGCGAATCGTTATATGTGAACATAGCATTTAGGGAATCCATCACAACAACTACCGCTTCCATAGCCAAGTCTGTGGAAAAGGGTATCAACAACTGTGGAATTTCGACAGTTCATGCCCTAAAATCCATGCAACTACATGGATATTTATTTCAACATAAAACATTTAACGCAATGGACAGTTTTAACACAACTCCATATAGAATGTACAGTTTGATTTTATGATGATAACTGAAAAAATACTGACGCCTTAAAGCCTAAACTCTGAATGAAGCCCTAAAATAACTATTTCTATGAGAAAAAAGGCGTATCTGCTTGATGAGGTTGTCATATTTCGTGTTTAAACGATCATTTTCCGCGATCTTGTTTCGACACTCAGGAGGGTGCCCTCGCTTAACGCACAATTGCAATAAATGGAGAGGGTGTCAAGCTATTATGGAACGATCTGTAAATTTCTAGATCCCTCTGCCAAATGGCAAAACCTGATATACTTGTAAAATAATGAAAATGCGAGGGAAAACTTACCATTACGCTTGCGCCACATGTTCGTCTTTCACTGTCCAGCGAGGAAATGGAGTTGCTTTTGGGGCAACTCCACATTTCGCGTGGACAGTGCTTCCACCCTGTGAGCAACGTCTCGTGGAAAAGGGATGGGCAAGTTAGCCTATTACACAAAGTACATACACAAAAAAGTAATAATTATAGAGATGAGTTTATTGACAATATGGGGACCCCCTGGCCCATTATACACGAACAAGATGCAGCGTATACATAATGAAGCGCCTGAAATATATATTACAAAACGAGATCGTAATTTAAATCCTAAGAATACTTACTTTACAAGCAGTGATAATACATGGGTATTTTTAGATGCAATCAATTGTTGGAATCTTATTTGTGAAGGAAATGTATATTTTTAGTAATATGCAGGAATGATACAGCGTCTAAGACCATCATAAAATGGACATACTGTGGCCAAGTCATGTTTTAATCATTATTAGTTTCAATTTTAAGTACTTGTATATAGTTATTGTATATTGTATAGTTGTCAGATTTTAAGTTTACAGATAAAATATAACAAACCCTTTCAGTTAAATGTATCCCTGCACTTACGCAATTATTCAATTAACAATAGCCACCCTACTGGGTCAGGCCAGGTTCTGACCCATACGCTTACACTCTGCACAAGCTTCTTTTGTCCTTCTGCCTCAGTTTCTATGGTCAGCTTGCCACCTATTGTCTGTTTAGTTTTAAAGGTGGCTGTCACACTTAACCTGTTGGCAGTCACATAGATCTTTCTGGAGGATCAGATCACTACGATTTGTGTTTTCGTGGAACATTTCTGGATTGTAATGAGGATCTTATTATTCAAGTCAGTGCATATATTGTATGTGTAAAGATGGTATAATTGTATATAGTGTCTTAAAGAAGTGTTACATTAATGCATTGGTGTGTAGTTAAATGTATCTATTGTTTTCCAAACATCAGTACAGTTGGTTGGATGTGTAATGTATCTAAATTATATCATTAAATATCAATTAGCTATTTACACTTAACATGGCGTATGCGGTAGGTAAATACCAGTCTGAGTCTAATTAAAACTAAATTATGACTTAACATATTGTGTAAATGTATAATCGTATGAATGTGGTATGAAATAGTGAGGGTGGATGTGAGATTTGTTGCTTTTATTATAACTTATTTTATATACCATTATTAGTATTATCAAGGTTGTATTTTAACTTTTCTTAGAATGATCCGTGATGATTGATGATCCTTGACTGTTATGCGAGCTTGTTTACACTCATTGCCACACAGTAGTAAGTGTATTTTATGATCCTGTATGTAATAAACTCTATATATTTTCGTCATGTATATTTGTAATATATTCATTGAATGTCATAAACGATATATGTATGTATGAATAGTTTTCATGTTGCTATTTATATTTAAAGATGTATTTATGCTAAAGTACCGTCGGAAATGCTAGAAAAATGCTTTTTAGCCTTAATATCTTTAGAAAGGTGAAAAATGTATTATGTTGTCAATATATCAACTCACCTATAGTGTAGCTAATTTTTCTTTCAATTGATTTAACATTCCCATGCATTTAAAGGGCAGTTTACAGGAGAGAATTTGGTACCAAAAACAACAACTGAAGATTTTTTCAGAGTTCAACAGAAATCTGAAATAGTCTTTACATTTATGCTAATAATACAGGTGGTGTAAAAATATATATTAACCTTTTTCTTAAACAAATAAATGTTGAATGCTTGTGTTACTTTACTTAATTATCGTTTCTTTATTGAAGAAATATTAATATCAATGTTAAGTCTTGATAAACAAGTTTCCCGTCATGCATGCACATCTTTATCACAGCGTCCACTATGGCCAACTATTTGCAGACGATTGTTGCAAAGGTTTATAATTTTTTGTGCTTGAAAAAGACAAAGGTTAACCTTTCATTAGTATAGAAATGGTTTAATACAGAACTTGTTGGTATGTTGGTATGTCTTACCAACATGTTTACAATATTGTAAACAAATCAGACAAGACAGGGACCGTCTCAAAAGCAAAACCGGGACGTAAAACCATCCTTGACAATTTTGACAAGGGAATACTTAGACGGGCGGTCTACAAACTTTAGGAGAAGAAGAATATATATGTTCTAAAGAGGCTACACAAGTGACTTCGTAAAATCTTTGGCCAATGTTCACAACTAGATTAAATTGACCGAATTACATCCATATTTTTGCAATGAAATATACTGTTGACATGCAAAACATTTATCAAAACGTTGCACATTTCTACGATCAATCGATAAGATAACACAAGTGATAGGATTCTTTCCAATTTACAGTAATTCGTATGTCTATTTCACAACAAACACACATACACAAATGATCCCTC